ATTTCTTTCTACCCAGTATGTCCGCGCCCTCCCGCCAGGGGGCCAGTGCTTCCGGGAAGGGCCCTTTGCCTCCACGACTCCCAGGTATCTCATCCTCTCCCCAGTGGTCATTTCTATAACACACTGGAGCAATTTGACTGGGGGCGCTTCCGGGCCCTGGCTGAGGAGTCCCAGCTCTATGACACAGCCTCAGCCTCTTCCTGCAGCAGTTCCAGCACCCGGGCATTTACGTCTGTCGTCTGAGCAGCAACCGACATCGGAAGATGGTTTGTCTATGATAATTTGCCTCATTTAAGACATTATCCCATTATTTCCCCTCTCTTTAAAAAATACTGCTGCAGGCCGGGCGTGGTGGCTCACACCTGTAATCCCAGCACATTGGGAGGCTGAGGCAGGCAGATCACCTGAGGTCGGGAGTTCAAGACCAGCCTGACTAACATGGAGAAACCCCATCTCTACTAAAAATACAAAATTAGCCAGGCACTGTGGCACATGCCTGTAATTCCAGCTACTTGGGAGGCTGAGGCAGGAGAATCACTTGAACCCGGGAGGTGGAGGTTGCAGTGAGCCAAGATCGCGCCACTGCACTCCAGCCTGGGCAACAAGAGTGAAACTCTGTCTCAACAAAAAATAAATACTGCCTCATAACCAGCTAAGACAGATCTGCAGGGAAGGAGATGCCCTGAGGTCCCTGTCAGTTTCAGGGTCCTGCAGTGCTGACAGGTGGTCCTGGGGATGCCAAGGTTCATTCCACAGCAGCCCAGCATGTGCTGTGTAAGGAGGGGAAGGTTGGGAGGATGGGAACACAAGTGTGTATTCAGGCACATCAATGGCATTGAGCGGCTTAGGACCTCTAGCTATCTCTCCCAACCCTCCACTTTGTCTCCCCCACCGCCATCTCCCAAGCCCACCCACATATGGTTTTATCTGTGTGACCTGCACATTGTACCACCACTGATCCAGGTGTGCTGTTTGTGCCACACACAGCATTTAGTGTCTCCCTATCAGCACAACGTCCAAGAGGTTGTACTGGCTTAGTCCCAGAACATGCACACAGCTCCCTCACACAAATAGTCATCTGATGTGAGTCATCTGATGTGAATAAGTTTCCCAGGAAAACTCTGATTCTGCCTCCCAGCCCCCAGGTTTACACAATCATCCAACTATTTGATGGGTGTTGGCCAGCGTGGGTCCCACTCCGTCTCCTGGCCAGTCTCTGGCGGACAGTGGGACAAAGACTGAACAGATTTCTTTCTACCCAGTATGTCCGCGCCCTCCCGCCAGGGGGCCAGTGCTTCCGGGAAGGGCCCTTTGCCTCCACGACTCCCAGGTATCTCATCCAGACTGGCATCGCCAGGATCCCCCGGCCCCTGAAGAGGTCTGGCTGGCTAGGACTCCTGGGGGAGATTGTGCTGCTGCTGGGGCTTTGCCTGTTTCTAATGGTGAGTAAAGCCAGGCAAGCGACATCTTAACCACTCCACAAGATCGCCTCTCCAATCCCCTGTAAGTGGGTCTTCCAGTCCCATTTATGACAAGCATTCTAATAGTTGCTAAGATGCAAAGGTGACGAAGGTGCAGTTGCAAGTCTCCAGGGCTTGAAACAAATACATGTCAGCAAATATAATGCAGCTAGCTAAAGTGGGTCCAGGGTGCCGCACTAAGGCAGGAGTTGACTGTTCTCCCTGGTGGGGGTGGGAGTCGGGACAGACTTTCCGGAAGAGTTGATCCCTGAGTGAGGTTTGAAATAGGAGAATTATTTAATATAACGTGGTCCGTGTACTACAAGAGGGTTGGTGAGTTGAGGAGGAGGGGTTATGCACTGGGGAGGAGGGACAGAGATGAGAAGGGGAGTATTGTGGGCACAGCAAGGACATAGGCATGAAACAACACGCATGTTCTCTGGCAACCAAATGGGGTTTCCCATGACTGGAGCTGAGGTGTGAGGACAAGGATAAGGCTGGAACTGGGAGGAAGACTAAAATGGGACGGTCTCCAGGCCCTGCCAAGAAGTCTGGACTCTAACCCCTAGGCAGGGGATAACAATTTTCAGCAACTGAGAAAACCTGGTCTGCCTTTTATTTGTACTCCAGCCTAGTACTCTAGGGTGGAGGACAGAGATGGATCAGAGGACAAAAAACAACAGAGACCTAAACAATTAGTCTAAGCAAGAGAAGATGAGGTGCTCCCTAACCACGGTGAAGTGCGAGCTGCCTCCTTTCAGAGTCTTTAGGAAGGATGCCGCTCCCTCGGCTCGCCCTTCCCTTCCCACTCCCCATTATGTACTCCGTAGATTCAGTGTCACAGCCTGAGCTGGGCTCGGAAGGCTGCTCCCCACCCCACCTTCAGGAGACATCAGCAAGAATACAATCTTGATGCCTACACTTCCCCAAGAACTGGGATAATGTCAATGAGGAGAGGCCGATCTCACCAAGACTCTGATGCCCCAAGGGTTGAGGGGGGTCCTGGTGAGTGATAGGTAGGCTAGAATCCCAGAGGTACCCCCAAATCCAACTGGCCAGCTCCTGCTTCTTTTTTCCATCTTCCACGATTGCTCAATGCTCAATTCCTCTTCATTCATCCACTGATTTGCTCAAAAAATCTTTACTGAGTGGCTACTGTATGTCAGACACTGCCGGGTACTAGGCATAAGCAATATAGAGGAGGAAAGAGACATCTAAACACACTTTCCAAAAGAAACATAGTATAACCGCGTACAAAGTGGCCAAGTGACACAGTGACCAGTACTACCTACAGGAGCAAGTTGCAGAAGGTATTTATTGTATGTCACGCTGAGGGGTTCCCCTTCTGTCCTTGCTCCTCACAGCATGGTCCTCAGACAGCAGAACGGGGATGTGTTTGTGCTCCGAGAACTTTAACATGCATATGAATTTCCCGGGGACCTTCTGCGTCAGTAGGTCTGGGATGCGGCCTGAGACTCTGCATTTCTACCAAGTTCCTCAGTAGCACTGATGCTCCTTACCCAAAAACTACACTTTCAGTAGCAAGACTGTGCCTGGATTGTTGAGGCTCTATAGGAAGATGCTTGGAAGATCTGTAGGGAAGCTCATATTTGCATCTCAGGAGGATAATCCTGCTTCCCCGCCCCCCGACCCCCACAGGTGGGAGCTGGGAGGCTGAGGAGCAGGTAGACCTGGAGTGGTTTGACACAGAGGCCTTCTTTGGAACCCTCCTCAGGCAGTCTCTGTCAGTGACAGCCAAACTCAGCCAGACCAACGAAGAGGTAACTGGCAGCTCCAGGCAACACTTCTACCCCAGACTGGAGGAACATGTGGGGCTGGAAAGAGTCTCCTCTTCAGGAGAGTTGGTTATGGGACATAGAGTCCAAAGAAATCCTCAGTCTATCAACTCCTTAAGAAATCAGAATAAAGGAAGGTATATGGGAAGGGGAGACAGAAGATCAGATTAAATTTAGGACTGATACCTTGAAACCTAGGGCTTCAGACCAATGATAGGGAATCTACCAAGGCCACCACTGGAGTTCCTCCTTAGATCTCCATCCCGAGTCCTCGATAGCCCAACTGGGTAAGCACATTTATGCCAGTAGATGACAGGCATTAGAAGCAAAAAGAATACACTAGAAGTCCAAGTACCAAAACTGGGCCAGGGTTTCCCCAGCAGAATGTGCGTGCCGAGACTGGCTGGGACGAGCCTGTGTCCGTCTTCACTCATTCCTTCCAAGTGTCTGGGTTGGGGGTTGGGGGGTGGGGCTCTGGAGTCCCTGCAGCTGTTGGCAGCAGGGGGCGCTGCAATCACAACAGTGAGAGGCTGGGTGGCTCCCGGAACAGAGTTCACACACGCTCAATCCACCCTCTCTGGCAGCTCAAACTCCTCTACCTTAAACTTCTGCGCGAAGCCCGTTCTCTGCAGCAGCTGTGGGGAGCAAGGCGCAGCCTCCCAGCCTCCACTAACCGGCTTCTGGGGAGCGTGCGGAGGGAGCAGCAGCAGGTGGGCTTGGTTCATGTCTTCCTCTCTGGTCTGTGTGCCCAAACACAACTCCCTCCCCTCACTGAGGTCCAGGCTCCCTCCCTTAGCACCTCCCCAACCTGTTCCATCTCCCTGGCCCGAAGGCTTTTAGCTCCAGTTCCCACCATCCCTGGGAATTTCTCACCCACTTTGCCACTGCTGCCATGCCTGCCCAGAATAACTCTGGAGTTCCCAGGGTGAGCGGGGTGTCCCTGAGATTGCTGTCCCTGGTGGCTGTAGCACCTGCAGGTGGGCAGGCAGGGTTGTCTCTGACCCAGGCTGCTGAGGCAGCTATCAGGGCCGCAGAGGAGGAGGCCAGCCCGAGGAGGCACATGGCAGGCCAGTACGCAGCCAACCTTCGTCACCAACTCAAGCTCCTTCACCAAGACCTCCTCGAGAGGCAGGAACAGTGGGCCTCTTTCTGCTCAGCGCTGATGGAGGCTCAGCAGCTGCTGAAAGCACGGACGGGCTCCAGGTCAGATAAGCCCTCTCCGGCTGGGCAGAACTCAGAAGGGTGTGGACCTGCCAACCTGGGTCAGACAGGGAGGCATGAAACGAGGAGGAGTGAGTGTGGCCGCATGAGGTCCCAGAACTGGCCAAAACGTCCTTTTCCCACCGCTGATTGCTCCTGCGCCCCTGCAGGGCAGTTCCCCAGCTGGACACTGTGCTGGGCCACCTGTCCCAGGTCGTGCTGCAGGAGGGCCACCGCCTGAAGGCCTGGGGCATTCTGGGCACCGGCACTGGGGCGGAGCTACCGCGGCCAGGTGAGCTCTGCTTGGGCCTCAGCCAGGGCCTCCCAGGAAACCTGGCCCTGAATCAAGGTGACCAGCCCTGTAGAAACTCCAGTTCCACCCCCAGACACCCAGCAGGGGAGGAGAGGTAGAAGAGGGCAAAACAGAGCGGACACCCCAAGGTTGGGAGGGGCTTCCCGTGCAGTGCCTGCCCAAAAGAAGGAGCCTCGAATGTGGGAAGAACCAAGGAGGAAACAAAGCCATGGCAAGTCATAGCTTTACAGATCTGGTGGCACTTCCTGAAAATAAAAGCCTAGCAGATGAAGGCAAACGGCCAAGTTTGGGAAATGATGAACTTGCCTTGGGGACTAGCAGGCCTGCTGAGTCCTGGGAGTCCTATAGCCCCCCATAGGCTGGCACCACTATTTCCCAAGGCTCTTCCAGTCTCTGCTGGCCTGCACAATGATACCACAATGACACGTAGAATCCTGCCCTGGACTCAGCAAAGATGAGACCCCTGCCCCTCAGGGGCACAATGTCCATGGGGACTGAGGGGGAGCTGGTTCTCACCAGCTCCTTCCAGTCACCAGCCAAGGGAGTCCCTGCATGTTCGCTTCCCCCCACCCCCCTGGCCCCCAGCCCAGGGCTGAGCAGGCAATGTTTGCTTTCCTGCAGCCCCAGCAGGCCCTCCTGGTGCTGATGACATCAGTGTGAATCCCGTCACCAAGTTGATGGTCCCTGGCCCCAACTGCTTGATGCTTCCAGCCAGCGGCCACGCAGGCTCCATACCCTCTGGCTACTTCATCCACCCCGACACTGGGCGGGTGCTGCCTGAGGCTGGACACCTGGGATATGATCTGCTGCGAGCTACCCTGGTGCCCACTACAGACTCCAATGCTGGTGAGCCCCTGGCCCACTGACTATCCCCAACTTAGCTCTGGGCTTCAGAGATGAGGCAGGGCTTGCTGGGACTCTCAGGAATGAGCTCCCAGGGAGGACAGCACAGGAAGCAGGGCTCTCTCCTCGGACAGTGGGGCTTGGTGACCAGCAGAGTAGTAAATACTTCCTTCCCCTCCTCACCTTGACATTCTTGCTGAATTCAGAGGATGCCATGAGCTGCACAGTAAAATGAGGCAAGTCCCAAAGCCCCTCTGTCCCTGCTCTGCAGGGCTGAGGGAGGCTGGTGCATTAAGGGTACCAACAGCTCCCTGTATCCCTGTATCCCTCTCCAGGTGGCGTCCGAACATCAGAAGCTGCCATCCTGCCCTATGTGCCCTACCCAATCAGTCCCACCACAGGTTCCCCTCCAGCCACACACCTGCCCATCCTGCAGCCAAGAAGGATGTCCCCGCTGGGGGCTCTCATGACAGATCCCATCACAGGCATTGAGGTGCCTGTGCTGGCTGTGACTCTGCACCCCCAAACGAGGCAGTGGCTCACTCTTGGGGGGACATACTGCAATCCTCTCACCAAGACCTTGGCCCCTCTGGAGATGGGGGGCCCCATGGAGGATCCAGTCACAGGAGGCATCTCGCCCATCCTGGGAGTCGGGTTGGATGAAAACACAGGTCTCCCGGCAGCCCTTGGCGATGTCCTCCCTTGCCTTCCTCCATGCCTGGCCTGGCCTCCCAGTCCCCTTCCTCTGAGCCCCCTACGCTCTCCATGTTCTGGTCTGAGCCACAAACTCCACCCACCACCCTCTTTCCACCCTTCATTCTCACTCTGCCTCTTACCCCCAACCTTCCCTCTCCCCTTCCCCATCTCTACTCCAGTGCCCCTGGGGAGCGGAAGAGATGCAAGGTAGTTCCATAAAGTTAATGGACACTTTTCAACCAAAAAGGACCATTCCTCCACCTGTCACCACCATGCTTCACCCCCTGCCCTCTTCCTCACCCCCTCCTCCTTCCCTCCCACAGCTCACCTCCATCCTTGTGCCCTAATTCCCCTTATGCCACGCCTGCCTACATCCCTGCTGTGTCCCTCTCCTACCTTGCCCTCTTGGTGTCTTGCTTCCAGGTCAGCTGCTTGTACTGGGAGGGCTGCGAGATGCTTCGGGGAACCTCATGCTGCCTGGTGACAGCTTTGTGGAGCCACTGAGCGGGAAGACAGTCCAGCTCCAGGGGGCTTCCCGACGAGAGGGCCAGACATTGCCCCATATGGGAGGGTCACAGGCCGTGCTGGACACCAATGTGCTGGTGGCCCAGAGGCAAGTGATTGCAGTGCTCCAGCAGTGCCAGGGGAGTCCAGAGTCAGATGTACAGAGGCCTCTGGAGGCTGCCATCAAGGACATGAGACAGGCACTGGCCTTGAGTCTGCACCACATCCTGCAGCAGGCTCGGAGGCTGGAGAGGCAGCTGGCAGCAGCAGATGACATTGAAGCCAGTGGTGGCAGGATAGGTATGGACAAATCTGGGCCAAAGGCTCTCAGGCTCCGATATCTCAGGCCCAGAATTACCTGGTGCTTCGATGCTCCTCGGCTCGTAAGCTCAGGGACAGGGCTGCAGCCCCAGTGGTCATGCACATGCATGACCAAGGGAAGAGAGAAGGAACTCCATGACTTCATGCCCTGACTCCATGAGTGCTTGACTGCATCCCTGTCTTAATTTCTTGCCAATGCCATTGAGTTTATGTTACAGAGCATACATTCTCTTGTTACCTCACGGTTCATGAAACACCACCAACAGGTACAATGACACCCATTTCAGAGTGGGGAACCTGATGCTCAGAGAGTTAAATGAATTGCCCAGCCGGGGTCCTCTAGCTAATTAGCTGCAAAGCCCGGCCAAAAGCCTGAATCTCCTGAGTCCTCAATCCCTTCTCACCTTCATTCTGCAGCAATCTTTCACTTCCCACGAATGAACGCAAGAAAGGAGCCCATCCCACAACTCCACCTCCCCCACAGCCCTGGTACAAGGAAAGGCAAGGAGAAGTAGGAGTGGCATCTTCCTGGAGTTTATCTCACTCTTTCTAGAAATTGCCCTCTTCCCACAAATAGCAACAACAACAACAAAAGAACTAGGTCAGAATTGACTTGAGTTTGAAGATCTGCCCCACAGTTTATTAACTCTTTGACTTTGGGCAAGTTATTAGTACTAACCCCTCCCTGCCACTGTTTTACCATCATTTAAAAGGAAGAGTAAAATTGTGCATAGTGGCTGGGTGCAGTGGCTCACGCCTGTAATCCCAGCACTTTGGGAGGTTGAGGCAGGTGGATTGCTTGAGGTCAGGAGTTCAAGACCAGCCTGATCAATATGGTGAAACCCTGTCTCTACTAAATTACAAAAAATAGCCAGGCATGGTGGTGGGAGCCTGTAATCCCAGCTACTTGGGAGGCTGAGGCAGGAGAATCACTTGAACCCAGGAGGTGGAGGTTGCAATGAGCTGAGATCACATCATTGTACTCCAGCCTGGGTGACAGGCTTTATAGCTTAGGTTGCAGGACTGAGTGAAATACAGCTTCTCTGGAGTTCTGAGTTCAGATTCTGATCAATGGCAGGTGCTCAAGAACACAAGCCCCCTTCTTTTAGAAGTTGTTCTCAGCTTCTCAAAAAGTCTGATGCCACTCAATTCCCACTTGCTTCTTCCAGAACAGGCCATTAAGGCATTGTCCTTTCTTCCCTTCTGAATTCAGAATGCTAAGTTGGGCCCAAAGGAAACAAATGCAGTCTTTGCAGGGAAGCCTCTCTGGTCAGGGACATAGCACTTCGAACTTGGAAAGACTTCAGAGTGGTGCTTAACCCTCAATCCTCCTCTTTACTCACCCTCCCCCTGGTGTTAGGAATGATACGCTATCCCAGGACAGAGCTGTGGGTCCCAGCCCTGTATGGAATGGAGATCCCAGATCCTGAGGGCTCGGGGCTCATGGTGCCTATCCTGGGCATGGAGCATGATGAGAATTCTGGCGATGACATACCCCTGGCAGGCTCAATGGAAGACGCTGATGGCAAAGGTAGGAGAGAATTTGGGACCTCTGAGAGCTCAGGAATGTGACTTAGGTCTGGGAGACAAAACCCTGTAAAGCTCAGGAGGGGTACCCATGAGCCAAGGAAAGGCGTCATTCCGAGCTTCTGCTAGGGCTGCTGAGACCCAAAATTAAAGGTGCCCAGAGATTCCAAAACCCCAGGACCATAAATCAGGTATGCCTGCCCTAGAAAATTGGGTCCTTTCAAAGACCAGCACTTCAGAAACTCACCACCCACCCCCACGCCAGGGCTGTGGCCACCAGGAGCCCTATAACCCAGCTTAGAGCCCCTTGAAGGGTAAAAGGAGGTCAGGGACTCTTCTTGCTTCCTTTTTGCCATGCATCTTTCTTCCTATGACTGCCCCTTCTTTCCTTCCCCATCTCTGGTTTCTAAAGCCAGTGGAGGGCTTGGCATCCCACAGGTCTAATCCCAATCTCGATTGGGGCTCAGGCCATAGACCCCTGGACTGGGAAGCCTGGTCCCGTCATTGGAGCTCAAATGGATCCCTCTGCCAGAGTGGTGGTGCCCATTGTCCAGGTGCTGGAGGCGTTACCTCGGGGAGTGAGAGACCCTGGTCTGGTATGTAGGGGGGTTTATTGTATTCATTTATTCATTCATTCATTCATTCACTCAGCAACTACATATTGAGAGCTGTGTTCCAGGCAACATGTTAGGCATTGAGATACAAGGACAACTAGATAGGGCTCCCAGGAAACTGGCTGGCCATGCGTCCCCAACACAGTGGGTGGTTTACAAGGGTGTTAAGAAAGCTCAAGGGAGGGCATCTCAACACACAGAGGAGAGCTCAAGGTTTCCCAAATGAGGTAATGCAGGCAGCAGAGAGACAGCAGAGAAAGTCACTCCAGCCTCAGGGAAAGCAAATGCAAAGGCAGCAAGTATGAGAAATGTGTCTTCTATCATGAAAGCCACGGGGAGCTGCTGAAGGGTTCTCAGACACGGGATATAATCAAATATAAATGCGAGACTTTAAATATTGGAAAATATGAAACAATACAAAATGTAAGTTACTCATACATTTTTAAAATATGTCAATGAAGAAGCAAAAGCTTTCCTGCCCATTCCTCTCCCTCCATCCACAGTCAACACCCCCATGGCATCCCCATCTAGGCACTCCTTACCTCTCCCCCAATCTCTCCCACCAAACCCAGCCACTTCACAAGTTGGCACACCTCCTCCCATTTATTTTTATGTTTATGTATGTGTATGTACAGTCAGCATTCTAGAAAGCTCTCCCTGGCAGCTGGGGCCAGACTGGCGCAGGAAGCCCCGTCAGGAGGTTATTGCAGTAATTCAGCCATTGGCAGATCTCCACCAAAATGAAAATGATTTAGGGCCCCCCATACATTCTCAGTCTAGTTATGTTTCAGAAACTGTGATAAAAGGTATGCGATAAATAAAAGGTTCTTGTTAGAAGCCAAGAAATTTCAATTCTAGCCCTGACACCACTGTTTCACAGGTCAGCATGTCTTCACGATATGAGGGGGGTGAGAATAATTTCCTGCCACCATGTGCCTGTCTCCTCTGGACTTCCCAAGAGAAGGGTGGTGGCAGGAGGCACGGGGAACTCTGGAGCAGGTGTCACCAGGAGGGAGGGAGGAACCAGGGAGCTTGAAGAAAATGTATGGTTATTTTTCTAGCTAAAACCACGTTGTTGGGAGGCAGAGGTGAGAGGATCACCTGAGGTCAGCAGGTCAAGACCAGTCTGGCCAACATGGTGAAACCCCATCTCTACAAAAATATTAGCCTGGTGTGGTGGCAGGCACATTTAATCCCAGCTACTCAG